ATGACTCCTTAAGCTTAACCAAGTCTGTTCACATCCATTATCCAATTTGATCCTCACAGCGGCCTCTTAACATAGGCAGAGAAGATATTATTATGCCAAGCAATGTCTCTAAAGAGCGTTAAGAATTGGGAAGCCTGGCTCTGTGACTACTTTGCTGTGTGACCTCTGGAATCTCAGTGTACTCTGTTAAAGGAGGGTCTGGACAAGATGCTTTCTTGAGTCCCTTGTACCTCTTACCTTCCAGGATTCATAAATTGACAAGTCCTTGAGGTAAGTTGGACCTATTGTAGGGAGCTTTGGAAAACCAAAGGTGGGAATCACCACCCTACATCTCCCACAGATGGAAAGAGATTGAATGAATTGGCCCAAGACATATGAGTGTGGGCCTGGAAGACAGATAGACCTGGCAAGTATCATCAGAGGTTTGTAAATGAAAGGAATGAAGCCCAGAGGAGTAAAGCTATCCAATTTTAAATGGGAGGAGTAGGGAATTGAACACTTCTGAATTTAATCTGGTGCTCTTTCCACTGGGCTACCTGACCTCCTTATACATGAAGCTCTAGGCTGGGTGTGTGGTGGCTGCAAAGTGCTCAGCACTGCCCACAAAAGACAGTGGAAATAGAGTCAGGAAGGCCTGGGTTCAAATCCTGCCTCAGACACTTACTAGCTCTGTGACTTTGGGCAAGTTTCTTCATCTCTGTTTGCTTCAGTTTCCTCTTCCATGAAATGAGATCATGAATATAGTTGCTATCTAAAGCTATGATCCTAATTTGGGTTATTGTTTTTTCCCTTGGACACGGTCGGGGGGGATATGGTCCTTTATGGGGGGCTACTCCCGTTTGAGCATTATGTCATAATACTAAAGAAAGCAAAGGCCTCAGAAAATCTGTGAAAGATTGTTTCATTAACTATTGGACTGAAGAGGTTCCAATGGGTTTAAGAATCAGGCAGAGCCATAGATGATTGTGCAAGGTGATAGGGATCCATTGATAGAGATAAAGGCAGCTCTTGAAATGGATAGAGTTGTGAACCTGGAATCAGGAAGACCTGACTTCAAATCTAGTCTAACACACTTTCTAGCTGTATACCCCTACACAGTCCCTTAAGCTTTGTCAGTCTCAGTTTTCTCAGCGGTCATATGAGGATAATAATTGCACCTACCTCTCATGGGTTGTTCTGAGAATCAAAGGGGATAATATCTGTAAAGCACTTTGCAACTTAAAGCATTCTATAAATGCCAGGCATTATTATTATTATCATCATCATTATTATTATTATTATTATATACAATCACATCTAGGGTCATACAGATATACCTAAAAAGGAACTGAGACATTGTATAGTACAATACACACACACACACACACACACACATATACACACACGCACGCACACACACACACACACACACACACACACACACACACACACCATTTTAAAGATAAGGAAAGAGGCCCAAAAAGGGGAAATGATTATCCAGAGTCAAACGCATTAGAATCTCAGACAACGAGATACATTTATTTCTGTGCCCCATCACTTTTGATTTTGGGTTTTGTTTTTTTTTTGGTGGTTTGTCACTATTGCCCTAATTTTAATGCTGCTCTTTGCAGTAACATGGAAGATCCTGTTTTCACTTTTGAACTGACTTATTTTCACGTGGTACCTGGAGGAAAGCGGCAGCAGCTGCCTAAACAAATCCTCAGTTCCCTCAGAGTCAGCTCAGAATAATAATAATAAAAATGACTCTGTTCAGTGTCAGCAGAGTAATTTCTTCCTTGGTTTCTATGGCTATGTTCAACTCTGGTGGAAATGGAGATGGAAAGATGGCCAGAGAGAGGAGTTGCAGGCAGAGACATTGAGTCCAGCCCAGGCCTATATTTTGTTGTTGTTCTTGTTAAGTCATTTTTCAGTTGTGTCCAATTCTCCAAGATCCCATTTGGGGTTTTCTTGGCAAAGATACTAGAGTGGTTTGCCATTTCCTTCTCTAGTTCATTTTGCAGTTGAGGAAACTGAGGCAAGCAGGATTAAATGACTTCCCCAGGGTCACACAGCTAGGAAGTGTCTGAGGCTGGATTTGAACTCAGGAAGATGAGTCTTCCTGATTCCAGGGCTGATCCTCTATATACTGCACCAACTAGCAAACCTATATACAATACCTCTATAGACACTAGACTTCTGATTACACTGGCCTAGGGAACTTCTAGCCAATGAAACTTTTTACCATCTTTCTGAAACTTAGAGTGTGAGAGGATTGTTAGAGCCCCGAGAGTGACACAGTGAGAATGTGTGATTGATGGAACTTTAATGCAGGCCTTCCTGGCTTAAAGGCTAGTTCTCCAGCCACTGGCATCCCTGCCCTCCTCTCTAGATACTTCTTTCATAACTCAGCTCAAACAGCAATGTCACACTCTGTTGCCTGCTTCTGGAGTTGACATTTATATAACAATTTAAAGTATCCATGGTCCCTGATAAATGTTACCTTATTTAATCCTCAAAACAGCTCTTGTTGGGTAAGAACTAAGAGTTTTCTTCTCTCTGTAATGCAGACGAGGAAGCCGAGGTCTAGAAAAGTTACATGATCTACTCATGGGCACACAGCTAATTTGTGTTAGAGGTGGCATTCGAACTCAGGAATCTCCTGTCCTCACCTCTACATTCCTCCTACCACCCACCAGGCCAGAGACCATACCTAGGGAACTTAAAACTTTCAATGCCAGAATTCCTGTCCTTCCCTCCTCTACACCACATTGGTGGGTTCCTTTACCCTGCAGTGATGAGTGCCTCCCCTGCTCCATAATATCAATGGAGCACCACCTGTGTTGTATTTCACTCACCATTCATCTTTTCACCAGCTGCCTTGGCATCGCATACAGACTCTCTGCCCTACTTAACTCTCCTCCCCCTTCCCGCGTTGCAAGCACCACCATATTCAAGTCCATACTATAATAGCTATACGAAATGTGTGCCAATCTATACTTCTGTAGCTTTGCTCACCAACCTTGAACCGCTCCCATACCAAAAGACCCCTCCCTGGTCTCCACTGCTACATATGTCTCCCCTATTAGAATGCAAGCTTCTTGAGGGCAGGACCCATCTCTCATTTTGTATTTGTATCCTTTGTGCTTGACTCACAGTAAGAGATTAATAATTTTTTTTATAAAAAAAAGTATGCATTTCTTCACTACACTCATTCTTCTTAAGTCTGAGAGCCTTTAAGATGCACATTCTGCCCATGCTTGAGCTACTCCCTGATACTTCCAAGACTACCAGGGCACTGTAATATATTAGACACTTGACTTGGTAGAGAAAATAAGCTATGCAAACAAGTGCTTTTCTTGTCTAAATAATTTTAGCATTTGTTAGCCCTCCTTCCCTTACCTAGCAATGTAATTACTTAAAAGAAGCTGGTTCTCCTAGGTATTAATCAATGCTGACTATAGTACTGTTGGGTGTCTTTTTGGGAAGGTGAAGGGGATGGACTAATTTTTCCAGTTCAGTGAATATTTACTAGGACATTTATTAGATGTCCATCAATATGCTAGATGATGTAAAGGAGGATGATAAGATCGTAGATTTAGAGGTCATTGAGCCCACACCTGGATTTTACAGATGTGGAAACTGAGGCACAGAGTGGTTAAAGACTTGCCCAAGTTTTCATAACTAGTGAGTGCCTGAGGCAAGATTTGAACCAAAGTCTTTCTGAATCTAATTATATTGCCCTATCCCCATATGACCCTGCCTTGCGGATGTGTCTCAATCTAATCTTCAATGGGCCCTCACTCTCTGATTCACTCTCTTCTATGCCACACAGGGACTGTTCCAAACTTTTTTCTCTCCTCGAGCCTCCAGGATGCAATAGAAGTGGCAGATATGGGGTCAGATGTCAGCTCTGTCACTTGGTACCTAGGCAGTTTTCAGTAAAATATCATTGAACTTCCCCGAGTCTCATTAAGTCAGACTGGAGAATCCTGAAGGCTCGATACCTCCAGCTCTATACCTATGTTCCTACCTTTCCCACCTCTCTCTAGGCAGAGGACGTGCACTCCCACTTTAGTGAGAATATAGAAAGAGACACTATCACAGATCTCTTCTTCTCCTATAGTCCACACCCCAAACCCTCTCTCCATGATCCCCTTCCTTCTCTCTTTTATTTCAGTCTCTGATGAGTAGATGTCCCTTCTTCTTGCCAAAGCTAATCCCTTTACCTGTGCCCTTGATTCAATCCCCTCCTGTATGTTCCAGCAAATTGTACCCAAAATCACCTTCAATCTCTGGGCAAATGAATCCCATACCTACAGAGCCAGTTCTGATCCCTATCTTCCAGTCCCCCATTGCCAACTGCCCAATGGAAATCACGAACTATTTGTCCCACCTTGTTGTTGTTCAGTTGTTTCTGTTCCAACTCGTCATGATCCCATTTGGGTTTTTTTTTTTTTGGCAAAGACACTAGAGTGATTTGCCATTTCCTCCCCCAGATCATTTTACAGATGAAGAAACTGAGGCAAACGGAGCTAAGTGACTTGCTCAGGGTCACACAGTAAGTGTCTGAGACCAGATTTAAACCCAGGAACCTGAGTCTTCCTGACTCCAGGCCTGGCCCTCTGTGCACTATGAAACCACCTAGCTGCCCCACAGGCATCTCAAAAGCAGTATGTCCAAATGACACTCTACCCATTTTTCCTCCAAACTCCCTTGCTTTTGGGGTGGCTACCAGCATCCTCCTAGTCATATAGGTTTACAAGTGAAGCTATTCTGAGCTCTTCCTTTTCCTGCCTTCTTATATCTATTCACTCATCAGGTCTTTTCAATTCTACCTTCATATCATCTCTTGTAGCTGATGCTGCTATCCACTCACACAGCTACCACCCACTTCAGGCCATCATCACCCCCTGCCTGGACAATTGAAATAACGTTCTGATTGGTCATGTTGCTTCCTATCTCTAACCTTTCAGATACAGATGTAGATTACATGGATAAATAGATAGATGGAAGGAAGGAATTGACAAGGATGGGATTTGAACCCACACGTGCAGAACACAATGGATTAATCATCCATCATCTTAACCACTTGGCTACCTTGTCCTACTTGATGGAAGGAAGGAAAGAAGGAAGGAAGGAAGGAAAGAAAGAAGGAAAAAATGGAAGGAGGAATGGAAGGAGCAAGGAAAGGAAAGGAAAAAAGGGAAGGAAGGAAAAAAGAAAGGAAAGAGGGGAAAGGAAGGATGGAAAGGAGATAGGGAGGGAGGGAGAAAGGAAGGAGGGAAGGAAGAGGGAGGGAGGAAAAAGGGAGGGAAGGAAGGAAGGAAATATAGCAGGTCAAAGTTTCCATGCACATCAGCTGTGGTGGCAATTAGAGTGGCCTTTGCACTTCCTTCCTCCCTCCCTTCCTTCCTTCCTTCCTTCCATCCTTCCTTCCATCCTTCCTTCCTTCCTTCCATCCTTCCTTCCTTCCTTCCTTCCTTCCTCCCTCCCTTCCTTCCTTCCTTCCTTCCATCCTTCCTTCCATCCTTCCTTCCTTCCTTCCTTCCTTCCTTCCTTCCTTCCTTCCTTCCTTCCTTCCTTCCTTCCTTCAGCAAAGAGCCATATCCCACACTGTCTGCCCAACAGTCTAAATGATGGAGGAATTTTCTAGAAAATTTGGTTGATGGTACCAAGATCCTGTCTCTAAGGGATCCAAACTCCTGTCTCACTCGGGTTTGCCAGTAATGACTGATACCTTTGTGTTATATTTTCAGAGTGTTTTTACATCTACTATGTTATCCATGTAACAGACTTGTGATTTAAAAAGTAGGGCAAATATAATTATCTCCATCTCATAGAAAACTGAGGCACAGAGAAATTGAGGGACTTACCCAAGGTCTTTTTTAAAGACCAGCATCAGAACTCAGATCTCTTGGTCCCCCAATTCCAGGCTCTTCTAATCTACTTGACCAAAAATTGTTTGACTATCTTGGAGTCTCCACAGGATACCGCTGGGGTTCTGTTAAGCTCTGAAGGAGGTGGAAAAGTACCCTGTGACCCAGACTACCTGTCTGGTTCTAATTAACAGCTGCCCTTGCCCTATCATGCCCACCCCTCGAATTGCATGAAAATCAAAACTCTTTCCCTCTCTCAGAGTTTCCTGTTAGCTCAGCTCTAGAGTGTAAGGGATCTGGCTATGATGTATGTTAATAATGAGCTGATAATGTGAACCAGTCCCACATCAGGGAGAGCTGGTTCCTTTGGTGCTCTGCCAAGAGGGTCAGAGTTGAATCACCACAGCTTGGTCCCAGGGAATGGGCCTGCACCTCCTGAGTTTGCTGGAGGCCTACTAGAAACCAGACACTCCTCCTCAAATTCCTGGCTTGAGACGGCTCTCATTTACCATCAAACACAGGTTTAGAGGAAACATGTGTCAGAGTCCCCCATCCCAGCTTGGACTGACATCTAAATCTGGGCTCTTCTGAAGTAGAGCCTTCAGGATTATCCCTCCTTCAGAAAGCTTTTTCCATTCATTTCCTCCAAATTAATAACATCAAGTATCTCCATTCCCCCTTCCTCAAAAAATAATTTTTTACTTTGTATTTTGCAATGTATATTCATTTCCATTATCTTAGTTGATCTTCATAAAACTCCAATGTAGTCAAGGAAACAAGTTCAAATCATTAACCCTATTTTTAAAATGATGGGATAAGTCCTCTCTGGGACTTAGTTTCCCCATTGGAAAAGTGACAGTTATACTAATGCTATTAGAAGCCCCTCCTAGTTCTGACCTTCTGGATTCTAAGATCCCTCTTAGTTCTGACATTCTCTGTCTTAAGACCTCTCCTAGCTCTGACGTTCTTCTTATTAAGGTCCTTCCCCAAGCTCTGGCATTCAATGTTCTGACTTTTACATTTTCTGCCTCCATGTTTCTGCATGGTTTAGCAATCTGTACTGTTCTCCATGCTTAAAATGATGATCTTGAGACACCCTGAAATATCATTAGTCTGTAGGAAAAATCTGAATGGTATTCTTTTCAGCAAGGACAACAACCCAGAGCCTAGGATTGGCAGATGCTTCCCCTATTTGACTCTCTTAAAGACCAAACTCTGAGGCTTATCAGCTCTGGGCAGAAGATGGGAGAGATACAACATCTTCAGCTCGACAACTCTTCTTAGTTCCAAGGTGGTTTTCCTCCACGATGTACTCCACCTTCACTTATGGTGCTCAGCTCAATTACCCTTTCCAGATTCCTATTGAGTGGGTTGGGTCAAAGGTAATGAAGTGCTCTGAGTCCTGGGTCAAGTTCATTGTCTTGAGGGTCTGTTCATAAGCTTCAGACCCTTTCTGCATCAGAAAGCCTTTCTCTTTTTCAATTCACTGTCTCTTCCACTTGTGACCTTCGAGCTTGTTGAAGTCTAAACCTGGCACACCCTCGTTTCAGGTTTTTTAGGAAGAAAAGCATAATGAAACAGTTTAGAAAGATTTTCTACGACAGCAGTTAGAAGAAAATGGATAATTCAAAAATTAATAATAACTCAAAGCTGCACACTCTAGGCTTCTAGTAATTTGGGTTTAAGTAGACTTGTTTAATAATATTTATTCAGTTTAACAATAATTATTATATTGTATTATGCATTATGTATTATGTGTTTACGAAAGACACAAAGACAAAAATGAAACATTCCCTGCCCTCAAGGAATTTTCATTCTGCACAGATAAGTAAATATGAAGTATTATTAGGAGGGAGAGTGTATTATCTGGAGGATTCAGAAAGGCCCCTATAGGAGGTGGTACCTGAGTTGAGCTTTGAAAAGGGTTAACAACGCTAAGAAGCAGCTGGTGATTCAGTGGATAGAGCACTAGGCCTGGAGTCAAGAAGACCAGAGGTCAAATCCAGCTTCAGACATTTACTAGTTGTGTTACCCTTGGGCAAGTCATTTAACCTCTAATTGCCTTAATCCACTAGAGAAGGAAATGGTAAACCACTCCAGTGTCTTTGCCAAGGAAACCCATGGAGAGTATGGTCCATGAGGATCACCAAGAGTCAGACACGACTGAACAGCAACAAACAATGCTAAGAGGGAGAGATGAAAAGGAAGCACATTCTAGAAAGGAAGAGCAACTTGTACAAATACAGAGATGGGAAATGTCACGTTCAGTTCAGAGACCATCTGTGAGAGTGGTTTGGATGAAATGCAAAACACCAACATGGAATAACATGACATACTGCAAAATGAGGCAGCTGGGTGGTGCGGTGGATGGAGTGCTGGACCTGGAGACAGGAAGACCTCAGTTCAGTTGTAGCCTTAGACACTTCCTAACTATGTGTGACCTTGGACAAGTCACTTTGTTTCCATCTGCTTCAGTTTCCTCATCTGTTTAATGGGGATAGTAATACACCTAACTACCAGGGCCATTATGATGATAAAATGAGATAATACTGTAAAACACATTGCAAACCTCAACACTTATAAATATAAGCATATAAATACTGGTTGTTATTATTGTTATTGTTGTCACCTTTAGATTTTAAAGGATTTTAAATACCTGGCTTAGAAATTTTTTGGTTGGTTGGTTGTTGTCCTTTGTTCTCAAAGAGGACCAAAGTGACATCATTAGGACCAAAGTGACATCATTATGCTAGGGTCAAGGTACAGTGTGCCCCATTGTGGCTAATCAGACCAATACAAGCTCAGAATCCTCTACCACAGGTCGGATACAAATAGTACATGAGAACATGTGAGGTGTATTCTCTAAATTTGTGTATCTCATGTTTCTTTTGAGCTACTTCAATTCTGCTTTACAGAATTTGAAAAAAAATATCTCATTGCAATGGCAACAGAAGGCCACTGAAGATTTTGGGGCTTAGTAGTGATCCAGCCTCAGACACTTGCTAGCTGTGTGACCCTGGGCAAGTCACTTAACCTTGTTTGCCTCAGTTTTCTAATCTGTAAAAAGAGCTGGAAAAGGAAATGGCAAATCACTCCAGTATCTCTGCCAAGAAAACCCCAAATGGGGTCATGAAGAGTAGAACAAGACTGAAAAACAATTAAACAACTACAAGTGATATACTCAAACTTATGTATTGAGAACAATAATTTGTCACCTGTGTGAAAGGCACATCAGAGAGGAAGAGACTAGAAGCAAGGAGACCAGTAGTCTAGTGTATGTGTGAATGAATGGAAGTAGCCAAACTCAAGAAATGTTATGGAAATAGAATTTACTAGACTTGGCAATTCATTGGATATGGATGATGAGAGATGGTGAGTTCAGATGTCTTCATAGGTGTATACCTGAGCGACTGGAAGGGTTGTGGTACCCTCAAACAAAATGGTAGAGGTAAGAGGCAGAATGTTTTTTGAGGAAAGCATACTAAATCCAGTTTGGTATCTCTTTGGATTGATATTCCAATAGAAGTGTATAGGAGGGCATTGTCAATGTACAGCTTGAGTTCAGAAGGGAGATGAGGGATGAGTATATGGACATATTGATTTCTTACTATGTACAAGGTACTGTGGAAGAGTGATGAATGAATGATTTTCTCTCAATGAAATTCAAATAACATTTATTAAATACTTATATGCAAGGCACTACATTTCACCCTGGGTGTATAAAGACAAAAATACAACAGTACTCATCCTTAAAAAGCTTATATTCTACCTCATCTGCTGGAAAGCCAAACATCTGGCAATTTTTAAAAAATCTATTTTGTTGCTTCATCTAGACATCAGATCATTGCCTAGGGAAAGTTTCTTCTTCTTTGTCCATGAACATAAAGGCTTGATGATTTTTCTTAGAATCCCAGAATTCCAACTTTGGAAGGGACTTCAAGACCTCAATGGCCATTTAGTCCAACCTACACCTGAAGAAGAGTTACCCCTAGAACACACATGACAAGTGACCATCCTGCCTTTGCTTGAACATCTCCAGTGATGAGAACTTCACTACCTACTAGGGTAACATATTTTACTTTTGCACACCTCTCATGGTAGGAAATTTTTCCTTATATCAAGCCTAAATTTGCCAATTTGTCAACACCTTCTTGCCTTTGCTCCTATTTCTGCCCTCTGGAGCTGAAAGAGAATCTAATCCCTCTTCCATTTGATATTTCTAAAAAT